AGATGATGTGGCTAGCATCATTAGTTGCAATGTTTTAGTGGTCTGTTCAATGTGAGATGCTATGAACAACATTAAATATAAAAAATACGATTATTTGTTTTAATATCTATTTACAATTTGTTTTTAATAAATTTAAATTGATTCTTATATAAAAAATATAATTATATCTATTATTTAATCGAGTTGATTCGTATACAACTGTTTTTTGACATACACAATAATGACATTTTTTTGTTTGCCTATTGTATGACCCCTCTAAAACATAAATTATTAAGGATGACAAAAAATGTTTTATACGAATCAACTCCTCTTATTTAATAACTTCGTTTTAAAATCTATATTTACGAATGACATTTTTTGTTTTGCGTATTGTATTTATTTTGTTAGAAAACAAATGCAACTAAAAAAATTGTATTTAGTTATTTACTTATTAGAAAAAAAATACTATATTTGGATGTTATATACGCTCAATGACCTACATCTATCTTTCCTTAACATAAATATAGGGAATTTTGGGTTTTGTTGTTGTAAAAGTTTATTGCCGACAAAAAGGATAAAATGTTATTGACATTTAGATAAAATGAAGATAACCAAAATATTTTAACGAGTCTCTTGATAATATATAACTATGTATTGCTTTTTATAATTAATTTCTCAATTAGATATACTAATTACATTTTGACGCTGGTGAGAGTGGTCATTTATGAAATCATTCAATTTTTAGTATGAACTTGAAGGTAAATAGCATTACATCGTCCGTTGAATTAAATTAATACATTCTACTAATTATAACCTTTATATAATGCTTTATATCTTATTTTGTTTAATAAATTGAATACAAAATTTCATAATTGGTCAATGTGGTTTGTAAAATATCTCATTTTGAGGACTTTTAAAGAAAACGTCACGCCACCGGTCCATGTGGTTTGCAAAATTACATGAAAGGTCATCCTGTCGTTAAATATAACTTTTCAACTGTTAGATTTTAATGAAAAAAACTATTTTGTCCTTGTACCAAATTTGCAATATACTACAAACCTCAATGACCATTTGTATAATTTTGTATATTTGAAATTTTGTATATATATAAATTATAAATATAAATTTTGTATATATATGAATTATATTTAAATAAGGTGAGGTATGTAAGGTAAGGTAAGGTGAGAAGGAAGTGGGGTTGGGGTGTGTTTATTTAAATAAATTAAAAAAATCAAGGGCAAAATAGTCTTTTTAGGTAATACAGGGACCAAGCGCGCAACAAAAACAAACTGTAGGGAGCTTCCGAGTTAAAAAAATAAGTTAGGGACCAAACATGCAAATTACCCCAAACCATAGGGACCATTCGTGTAATTTACTCAATTATTTAAAAAAATAGAAAACAAAAGGTGAAATAATGATAATAATAAATGCAAACATAAAGTTGCTAACAATATTAACTATGGAACATCCAAGTAAAATAAACGTGAACTGTAAAAGTATAAAATTAAAAAAAAAACATTAACGTTTCAATACACAAATAAGAACAATTAAAAAAAACGATTTCGATATGGTTTATCGAATTTAAGTTTATTTACTTGAATCAAAATAAACAAAAACATTAAAAAGACCATAAATAACTAAAGTTATAAAATAAAAATAAAAAAACAAATGTTAAAAAGATAAAAAAAAAAGTTATGAAATTGTTGAAATTATATATATACATATATATAAAATTTATATTTATAATTTATATATATGCAAAATTTATATTTATAATTTATATATATACAAAATTTCAAATTTACAAAATTACACAAACGGTCCTTGAGGTTTGTAGTATATTGCAAATTTGGTACAAGGGCAAAATAGTCTTTTGAGTAAATTACACGAAGGGTCCTTTAGATTTCCCGTTTTTCCTTGAAATAGTCCTTACGGAATTTTTTTCCCAGAGATGGTCCCTAAGGAGCAAACATTGCACATAAAAAGGCCCTTGTGACTAACTTTGTTAGAAGATTCTGTTAAGTTCTATTAAATGACAAAAATACACTTTGTTTTATGCACTCAAATAGTATTTCTCTCTCTCTCTCTCTCTCTCTCTCTCTCTAACCCATCGGTCTCATCCATTTACCCCTTTTATCCCGTCTCCTATTGAGGTCAACAAAATCACTCCTTTGCCTCCTTACTGCTACAAGGTTCCAAGCAGAATTTAGATTTGTTCTTGCTTGATTATTAAAATCTAAACCTGAAAATCAAAATCGAAAAGCAACTGATTTGGGTTTATTCTTGCTTGATTTCTTTGTGGAAATCGAAAGACGTTAGAGTCTTTGTGGAATCACGAAATCGGAGTTCTAAAAAAACATTGTAGGCAGTCTTTAAGACGTTAGAGTCGAGATTGGAGTTCGTTTTGATCAAAATTATAGGATTTCACTTCAATTTTGATTCTGTTTCACGGAATCGACTTTCCAAATGTAGAATTAGGTAGCATTTATTAAGTTAGAATCAGAATTAATATCGATTTAGCTCAAAATCAAGTTGATCTGTTATTAACCTCCGATTACCGGGAGGAATTGGAGTGTTCAAACCACCATCATCGACTCACAGTGGGGGAAACATTGAGATCAGTTTGCAAATCTTGTTTTGACTTTGCCTCTGAAATCTTTTGTTAGGTTGCAGTAGGGTTAATTTTTGTTGGTGGTTGGGCAGAATTAAGATTCAAGGAGAGCTCATGGGTTCAAGTCTCACTAGGAGAAATAGGTGGTGTTTAGGATTAGAATAAGAATAAGATAGTTTGCTGTTTCAATATATAGATATATATATATATATATATATATATATATATATATATATATATATATAATATATATATATATATATAGGTAGATTCAAATGTTTCTCACATCTATTGTGTGCTAGAATGCACCAATAAGAATTTAGTAATAATTATATGTATATTAAATGTTATCCATACTTATAACTCATTTTTATGGAAACTAATTAAATTCGTCATTAATGTCAACAATAATATTCTTTCAGAATGAATTCATATCTAGAAGAATGAGAGTGTATTCCAGCAGAATGAGAGTGTATTCTAGTAAAATACACTCTCGTTCTTCATATTCAATGCAATTTTATTGTATTTTAAGTGAGTGAGTTCTGAAACAAAATACGAACTCATATATAAAAACCTAGATGCGAATTCATTCTGAAAGAATATTATTGCTAACATTAATGACGGATTTAATTAGTTTCCATAAAAAGAGAATTATAATTATGGATATCATTTAATATACATATAATTATGGAAATCATTTAATATCTCTATTTATTTAATTAGATAATTATTTAATTTACTAAATTCCTATTGGTGCATTGTAGCACACAATAAATGTAAGAAACAAAATAATATATATATATATATATATATATATATATATATATATATATATAAATATAATATATATATATATATATATATATATATATATAGGTTTAGGTTCTATGGAAAACCAAAAAACTCTAAAAATCAAAAAAATGCATAAATAAAATACTTAGAGATCACAAAACTTTTTTTTGATTTTTTTTATAAAAAATCGCAGCTTTTTCTTAAAATTCGCTGAAAAAAAAAAACAAAAAATCATTTTTTTCAGCGAATTTGTATAGAAAGCTGCGATTTTTTATAAAAAAAATTCAAAAAAAAGTTTTGTGATCTCTAAGTATTTTATTTATGCATTTTTATGATTTTTAGGGTTTTTTTTAGGGTTTTTTGTTTTTCCAAATAACTATTCCATATATATATATATATATATAATATATATATATATATATATATATATATATATATATATATATATATATATATATATATAACTTATCTACCATGGAGTAGTCATTTACATAACAACTATAAAAATAAATATTGTCTTAGATTAGTTTAATTTTATTTAAGAAAACATAACTAAAAGTTAAATTAAAAAAAAAATACATTTTTCATATATATATATATATATATATATATATACAAAGTACAAACTTTAGGTCCATTGTTGCCCTATGTTATCTTTTGCCCACCTTTGTTAAAAATAAAAAGCTTAAAGAATGACCAACAGTCCCAAAACCTATTCTTTCAAAGAGCGCATTCCCCGCACCCTATTATGTAGCGGCTCTTTCTATGCGTGGTTCTCTTTTATACTCTTGATCTAGGAAGCAGGCTTCTGTAAACCTTCGAGAGGGTTCGTAGCCTTGCTAACGGTTTTCAATCTCACTCAGGGCGAATCTAAAAAAGTTTTTTTTAAGTGTTCATAAATCGTCTGTGAACAAATTCAAGAGAAGACAGATCCATAGGCAGCAAAAGAATAAAATAAGATTGAAATCAACACATACGACTTGCAATGTTTGTTATCATATGTGTGGGAAATTATCAAAACTTCAGATAAGAACACAAAATATACTAAAAATATCGACATATGATAGCAACCAACAGATAATATTTTTCTAACAGAGCACTATATTTGTTATTCATCGCATGTTTCCCTTTAATAGTTCTAACATCACTTAATGCTTTTGACGTGTATTTTTTATTTATTCAATTATATATACTATTAATTGTTAAAAACTTGGTGAACAGAAACTTTTGCCAATTCTCATTTCTGCCTTCGTTTACTACTTTTGCCACACCGGTTGCTATACTCTTTGCTTCTTTTTACTTCGCCGTCACTTTTATTTTAAAAGTTTTTTTTACAAACCGCCTTAAAAATTTTGTGATCGTTATCTTCTACACCGCCTTAAAAAATTTTGTGAGCGTTGTCTTCTATTTTGCATTTGCGATTGCCGCCTTCAGTGTCGTCGTTCTCTAAATCTGTTGATCCTTTTCTCGCGATTATCTGTTCCTCTGTTCTCACGCCTCTTACAAGAAAATTGTCAGACCCATAACACCATCGGTATACGTCCTCCTCACCGGCTACAACGACGACGATACCATAGTGGACGGATGGTTCCATTCACCAGTTGGACTCCATCTACCTCTAACTTTTGTCGGTGTAGTGTTGGTGGTGTGCGATGGAGGTGGCTATCCCGGGTTCGCTGTCGATTGAAGCTTCAATTGATGATGGTGGGGAAGAAGCCGACGAACCACCATGCACCATCGATTCGGTTTTTGGGTTTTTATCATCACTGGGTTTGTCCTCTTTGACTAGGGCTTCCATCTCCAACAAACCACCGGTCAAAAGCCAAAACATTTTAGCTTGATTTTTTGTCGGCCACTTCAAACATCAAACAAAAGCAAGTTTTGCTTTAAACCCTACAAAAGAGTCTCCTTCTGAATGAATTTCATCCTAATTTCTTTTGTTTTTAGTTTTTTTGATGGATTAATCTCAACTTGCAGTTTGTTTCCGATCGGGGAGGAGCGAATGTGGGAGGAGGAGCCTGAATCCTAATTTGATTACCCGATTTCAGATTCCTTCAATTTTCCACACACAGCTTTCCACAAGTTGAATATGAGGTAATGTAATTGTTAATTACTGACGAAATTGAGCTTAATTACACATGGTTAAAATGCGACTCGCTTTTGTAGGTGTTATTGACAACTTTCGTTTTTTTTGTATCTCAATTTTCGCTGCTGCTTAAAGTTTGTCTAAGAGTTTTGGAACGAAAAGTTTTGGTGTTTATGGAGATATCATCGATATTCATTCTCTGATAGTTTGATGTTTTCAGAGAGACCTTGGTTGTGTGGTCGGGCATTTTAATTTCTTTATTTCTTTGCTTTTTTTTAATTAGCGACCCCTCCCTTTGTACAATACGATGATCCCTATCCCTCTACAAACCGTGGACCTTCGTTCTCACAACCAGTGCAACTGTGTTCCCGATTCTAACACCATTTCAATGAAAAATAATAAATAGAACATCTTCAGGTTAAAGTCTTTTCTTTTTGTTTTTTATTTGTTTCCATCAAGTAAATGGTTTATTTCTGTTGATTTTATCCATCAAGGTGTGGACACCAATTGTCTGTGGAAATGTCTTACTCTAGGCATAACATTTGGGGAAATTATATAATCGATCGCACTTTTTGCGTTCTCTTGGTCTGAATTACCAACTTAATTTGATTTTTATATTAGATTTAATTTCAATCATTCATGTTGGAATTTTGAAAAAGTTTGGGGAAAAATTATACCCCTATTCATTTAAAACTCTGGTTTTGTTACAGAAATGTCTCGACTTTTGTTTCTCTATGTATCTGGTTCATTCCTTAGTTTTCATGTTGTATATTCATAATTTTGTATATACAACCATTTAAATTTCCCGAATTTTGTTTAATAGTTTTGTTAACTAATTGCAAAATTGTCTAGAAATGAAGTATTATTTCTCTTTTCCTGTTTTGTATCTTTTCCTTTACTGTTCCAGTGTCAATGTTGCAAACTATGACATTTCTAAGAGTGTTCTTTGTATACTCCATACTACTACTTCAGAGTACTCGCCTTAGGATAATTGGCAAAAACTACCTGTATGTGGCTTCAAGCATCTGATGTTTAATTTCGATTCAAGCATTAAGTGTGTGTTTTGACTTTTGTATGCAGGTTTAACGTAGTACGTTCCTGGATAATAACGGTATTTCAGAAGCTCCATCTAAATAGTACTGATATAGGTAATGAAGTTACATTCTCATCTATTTTATTTATAAAATTTGAAAATTTCAATATGTTAATTGTTGTGTGAAAGAGTCTGATGTATTTTCATGTTGCAGGAAGCGACGACTATTGCTGAGCTCTTAAACAAGAACTCAAATTTGCTCAAACTTGAACTCAACAACAATTTTATTGATTATTGTGTAAGTTTTTTTTTTCTTTTATCATCTAGTTTTTTTAAACAGGGACTTACAAATGACCATCATCGTTACATTTTATAGCATTAATTTTAGCATTACGTGAAGGCTGATATCATTTTTCTAAACTTTACTCCCTCCCGGAGGGAGGGTATAAAAATTTACTTTTCTACCCTACTTTTCTGCCCCTTTCTTGCAGGGCTGTTGAATGTACCCGCGTCGTTATCCAATATAGCATCTTACTTTCATTTGCTTATTCTATTTTTTTTTTTGTAATATTTTTCCTTTTTAAACCATCATACTTACAAAGTACAATGCTATTGTGGATAAAACTTTATTACGAATGAACTTTTTCTATATCCCACTTTATATTCAACTTTTTTTTTCTAATATTTCAGTTTGAATATCAAGCTTGGGGCAGGTGACATTAGTTTTTAATAATGATTTATTCTATGTCGTATGAACCTATAGTAAGGTACCACACTTTTGATGATCATAACAGTAGGGAGATATAGTCGCTTTCAATATTTTTTAGCTATAAGGAATATAGAACAAATGGGCTTCTTTTGGTTTCCTTGTAACAAAGCTTTTTTATTTGTTTCATTTTCATCATAAACCATCGCTCAGATGCGTATATTCGCTTCATAACCACCTGTGGGTGGTTGAATATTGGCTTCTCTCACTCCTACTCCTTGTAAATACAAACCTTTACAGTCTTTTCCATTAATTCATAACTCCTGCATATCATAACATAGAAATTGCAACATCAGCCAACTATATTCAATTTGGTTTTTAAAAAAAATACCCTTACTTACAAACCTGATCCAACTTAGCACCAACGGCGCGACTAATTCCTACTAGTTAACATCAAGATTCAAGGATAATGGCTAATATCCCAATTCTTGATTTTTAATGTTGGCAAATTGCAATAAATAGATATTTGAGTGAATTACTGAAATCGTCCTTATGATTTGTGTAAAATTACATCTTTGGTCCCTAACTTGCACTCGAATATTCCCTATAGTATTATTTTGTTAAGAATTTCATCCCTGTCAAACACGAAAAGACCATATTACCCTTATTTATTTTTATTTTTTTTATTTATTAATCAAACAATAAAATAGTTTAATTGCATATGTGGGTCCCACCATCCACATGCATAGTCATAACCTAAACGTATCATTCTCAATTGACACTGCCACCTCTGTAATTTTATCAACTCCGTTGAACACCAAAACTCAGCCAAGTACCCCTGCAATCGTTTCCTCTCCCTTTCTTCTTCTTTCCCATTTCTTCCATTTACCCTTCTCTTTCCATTTCCCTTTGTCTTCCTCCATGGCCAGCCCGGGGATTTCGGAGGACCTGTGCAATTTAACAAAAATAGGCCCTAAAACTTATAAAAATTTAAATAAAAAAATTATAAATTTTCATATTCTATTACAAAATACATAAACTAAAATTTCATTCAAAATAATCAACAAAAAAAATATTCTACTTGAAAACAACCATTCTTATAATATTTGTTTAAATAAAGTTTCGAACAACATCTTTATCCAAAATGTTCCTTGATTCTGAAATTGAAGTAAATTTTTAACACCCATGTCCTCTAAAAACCTATAAAAAACCAGAAACAAATCATAAAGAAAAAAAAATTAGAAATCAAAATGTTATATACTTATATTACATTATCAAGAGATAAATTCTCATTGCTTCTAATAAAAAAATTTAGAAATAAGAAATATAGTAATTTACCTTCTGATTTTTAAAACTTCAAACAACACAAGAATCAAAATCTTCATAACCTAGAGGACACCTAGAAGCTAGATTGACATATTTTGCTTATGATATTAAGAAAATGGGAATCAAAATGAATGAATGAAAGGGAAAAATAGATTTACTGAATTCTGAGGTTAGATTTATAAAGAAAGAAGTAAGAAGAAAGAGATAAGAACTCAATGCTTTTGAAATTCGTCCGATGTTTTTATGAAGATCAAAGGTTTTCATATGAATGGTTTTTTCTAATTTTAAGCAAAGAATGAAAAAGAAGACCGTTACTAAGGAGATCGGCCATGATTCACTATTTCGTTGGCATCATTAATTTGTTCTCATGCCTAAATCGTAATCATTGTCTGCAAAATAGAAGGAACCTAAGCATCGATTTTTACCCAAAACTTTTAGATTCCCTCTCATGATTCTCTCTTACGTCATTTTTTTTTCTCCGCTATACATTACCTAATATTATTTGGGCTAAAAAATGAACCTAAGCTAATACAAAAAAGGCTAAGAAAATATTGGGCCCTAAATTTTAGTGGGTCGTGTTCATGTTCATTGACTTTGAATTTCCTTTGGCTCCCTTCCCTTCTGTGACCCAAAAAGAAAACACTGAACTATATTTGAAATGAAAAACCCCAAAAAAATGAACTCATGCTGAAATCAACATCTCAAATTAAACCTGAACTCAATTTGAAATCAAAATTATACCTAAAATTTGAAATAAAAACCCAAAATCATTATTAGCTGATTTCTTTTTCGCTTGTGTTTGGGTGATGAAAGAACTTGATCATGCCTTCTTGTTTCTTCTGCTAAAATCATGGCTTTCAGAAGATTGGAATCAGAAGTCGGGTAAAATCATGGATGAAACCAAAAGACATGGATGAATCAGAGTTGGAAATAGTTAGGGCTTTCAACAGGATTACCTGGTACTTATTTTGTTCCTGCCGATGACACTCTGCCTACCTGCACCAACTAAGCGAGAATAATCTTATGAAATTGATGGGTGACGACCACGACTTCTCTACCACTCTGGAACCTCGAAATGAAAGAATCGTCGAGACTTTGGATTAGAATCGGGAACAAAAACATGCCTATCTGACGATTCATTCCATCAGATTTATGGTTTTGAGTTGGGTGGTAAACCTAAAGTAATGGGGACGACGATGGTTTACAGCGAGTATACATGATTTCCGGCAGCGATACATAAGGCATTAGCGGTATCACATGTGATGTTCGAGGACTGAGATAGAAAGTCGATCACGTTTTAATTTAGGGTTGGACGATCGAGGGAAGGGTAAATGGAGCCCACTTAGGAATATAACAATTATATAAAAGAAAAAAAAATAAAAAAATAAATACATTAAAGGTAAAACTGTTTTTTTTAAGTCGGTTAGGGATCAAAACCGAAACAAATTCAAACCATAGGGATTATCCTGAGTGAAAAACAAAAATTAGGGATCAAACGCGTAATTTTCGTAATTTTCTTACTGGGGTCTCTCCTCTCGTTGGTTTGGGGAGCGTGAATTTCACAACAGGGCATGCCGCGTTGAAAGCCGTTGCGTGTAAAGTGGTAAAGCACGAGAATGCATGTATAGAAAATCAACATGTGTTTGTACCTTTTGCATTCGATACATTTGGTTTTCTCGCACCAGAGGCGGTGGAGCTCCTCAACAGAGTCCAACGGGTCATGCATTCTAATGTCATATCTCCTAGATTCACAAATGTTGTTTTCAAAAGAATTGGTTTTACCATCCAGAAAGGGCTAGCGGCGCAGCTTGTTGCCCGTTTGCCTTCAATAGATATGTACTGAACTATATTAGTCGAAAAAAAAAGTTTATCATCCAAATTTTAGTAATTTAATCTAGAAATTTATTTCTAGTTTGGTCTGATTACAAATTATGTGTGAACCATGAATATTAAAATGTTAAAATAATATATAAATTAACCTCATGAGAATGAATTAACCTCGGACAAAACAACTTTTTCCTTTGTTCTAAATCTCCTCCATCAGAACCAATAATAGTTAAAATTTTAATTTAGTTTTTAGGGAAATCTCCAGAAAAGTCCTATAATTTTAGTCTAATTTATGAAAAAGTCTCAAACTAATTTTTGTTTACAGAAAAAGCACAGAATACCGGCTAAAACTTCAAAAAAACCCTTTTTGCCCGGTTTCAAAGATTTAGCCGGTATTCTGTCCTTTTTCGTTAGTTTGCTCAAAATATTAGGATTTTTTTTGAAAATTACCCGATAACCAAAATATTGGGACTTTTCTGAAAATTACTATGGAATTAAGGGATATTATTATTAATAAATCATTTATAAACATATAAATTTTTTTTATTATAAACAAAGGAAATACATTTCTAGCTAATTTCTAGGAATAAAATGGTCGACTATGTACTTCTCTATTGTTTGTTGACCACTTCAAAGTCCTTATGTTCCTCCTATGTATCGTTGTGGGTGTCATAGTAAGAAGTAACTTATTAGGCGTGACCAATACAAGATTTGATAATATTTATTAATACACAATCAATAAGTGTCTACTTGCTATTAGGCATGACGCTATATGATCACATGTTATTAGAAAATACCATTACACAACGATTCTTGAACATATAGATATTTTATTATGTTCTTTAACCTAATTACCACCTAACCTCCATACATTACCCGGTAACAACCATCAAATTACACACATCTATCGAGAGTGAAAAGTAAAATTTGAATGACAATTTAAATAGATAATCACCCTTCACTTGTTTCCATATAAACTATCATTCATGGATCACTTTTCGCATTTGATAGATGTGTGTTAGCTGATGGTTGTTAACATGTGAGGTATGGATGTTGAGTGGTAGTTAGGTTAAACAACATAAGATGAACACCAACATTAAAGGAATACCAACTGAGTACATCTCACCATCATATCCACAACAATGCATAGGAGGAACGTAGAGAGTTTGAGTGGTCAGCAAGCAACAGATGAGTACTTAGACGACCAATTTATTCCTAGAAATTAGCAATAAATGTATTTCCTTTTTTATAATAAAAATATTTTTTATGTTTATAAATGATTTGTTAATAATAATATCCATTAATTCCATGGTAATTTTCATAAAAGTCCCAATATTTTTGTTATCAAGTAATTTTTGAAAAAAGTCCCAAAATTTTGAGCAAACTAACGAAAAAGGACAGAATATCGGCTAAATCTGTGAAACCGGCTGAAAAGGGTTTTTTCGAAGTTTTAACCGGTATTCTATGCTTTTCTGTAAACAAAATTTAGTTTGAGACTTTTTCATAAATTGACCTAAAATTTTAGGACTTTTCTGGAGATTTCCCTAGTTTTTAATAATAACAAATAAGTAAAAATTTGGATAAAGGGAATAATAGGGTTTCTGAAACTACAGATCTGGAGTCTCAAAAATTAGAAAACCGACTACAAAAGAATGAGTTAAACAACAATGTATTTTGATTTATTTATGAGAAATTAAATATCCTCCTACCTTTTGTTCCTACTTATCTTTCTACCTATGTAAAATAATGACATGTGTCATATTTGAATAAAATTAATGATATTTTAATAAACTTGTCATCATTTCAAATGGGTAGGAAGATATGTAGGAAGGAAAGTAGGAGGATATTTAATTTCTCTTGATTTATTTATTATTATTATTATTATTATTATTATTATTATTATTTTTGGAACGGCTATTTATTTTCATTATTAATACTTAAGCATCATATTTGATAGATTTTAAAAAATATAAAAAGATTGGAAGTAGTGGCTTGCTATAAATAGATAGATTTTTCAAAGTAGAATTATTTGTTAAGAAAAAAGATATATTCTTGAAAAGCAAGATAATTTGGTCAAAATAAAAAATGCTTTATTAATAAAATTGGAACATTATTTACTTAAAAGTCCCAAATCTTTTACCTAATTATTAATATTTATCCCAAGAAGAAGAAAGAAAAAAAATATCACAGATTAAAAAATAAGTTATTTAGTATAATTATTCTATTATAGCAGTTATGATCAAAATACATGCAACATGTTTCTAATAACTAAGTCAAATCGGTTTTTGGTTATTTTTGTTGTAAATGCTAAGAAAGTTTTAAACAAAAAGTAGCAGAATCTATATCAGTTTTTGGTTATATTTGTTGTACAGACTAAGAAAATTTTAATTTTGATTCTACTAATTCCTACTACAGGTTGTGTGAATTTCATTGATTCCATCTATTACAACAATTATGAAATAAATTTTTTGATATTTTTTTTGTTCTTGGCCCAGTTTTGACTTTTGATTTGAGCAAACCAATCAGATTAAATACATACAACAAATGGCATACAATAAGCTTTGTTGGGTAGGATATGCCTGAAAGATAAAGAGACAGTCATCAATTTTCTTGTTCCCTGTTAAATAATCAGGTTAAATATTATTTCAAGAAAAAAAAATCAGAATAATAATAAAATAAATTTTTTTCTTCTTTCTGTGATGATATATGCTTGCATAGGATCTCAATAACTATGTACCACAACAATATCAGGGAAAAACACTTGTAATAGGTTCATATTTGACTTGCTGAATGAATTGGGTACTGTCAAGAGTAAAAATTAACTGATTACAAAACTGAATTGATCATTGTTTTGAAAATGTAAAAAATCTAAAATGATATGCATACAGTTATATCTAAGGGCATTTAACATCAAGAAATAGATGCTCATTAGGAAGAGTAAATTACACGAATGGTCCCTAGGGTTTGAGGTAATTTGCGTGTTTGGACTCTAACTTATTTTTTTTTTAACTCGGACCGTCCCTATTGTTTGTTTTTTTTTCCTGTTTGGTCCCTGTGACATAAAAAAAACTATTTTGTGCTTATTGATTTCTTTTATAATTTATTTATTTCTTATATAATTATTAATATCTAATGATCCCACCACTCTTTACTCCTCCACCAAAATCACCCCTCACCCGCGTTTTCCACTCCGATTCCTTTCCGCCCGACAACTTCATCCCACAACTTCGTCTTGTTCGGGCAAACCACCAATAAATACAATCAAATCAAATCAAATGAAATTTAATCAAAATACAACCAAATTATAAATCCATGTAATCAAATCTGATGAATCTCCTAAAACCATCATCAACGAAATCAAAAAATTTGGTTTTCTTCTTGATAAATGTAATAAAAAAAACTGAATCAAATCCACTCCCAAGACCTTAAATTTCCATGAAATCTAACCCGATTTCATCGACGTACAACTCATTCCCGATCTCTTGCATCTACAACTCTGTTCCCAATCTCCCCTGATGCGATAGAGAATCAAAAATCAGTGAAAGTGACCATAGAAATTTTCAAGAAAAAAAAAAACTGATGCTAGCAGTGAGGGAGAATCGACCGAAGTTTGGAAGAAAAGGTGATTGTTACCTTGAATCTCTGATTTCAGATGACAAATCCTTGAATCGGTGATTGTGGAGTTTGATTTTTCAGATTGGGTTTTTTGTGGGTTTTGGTATCGATGATATCTTAGAGAGAAAGGGATGGTCTGAATTTGGAACAAAGGTTGAGGGGTGACGATGTCGGACATAGGGCGGCAGTGGGAGCGCCGATAGAGGTGGACCTCCACCTTGTTGATGGTCGATCGTTTGGGTCACTTTTCCAAGATGTAGCAACAACGGCCGGTGTCCCTTTTCTGGGTTATAACAACGACGACAGAGGGTCGGTGACAATAGATGGTCGTCGGCCATTGGAAAGAACAAGAATGCATCATCGACCTGGATTTGCAAGGAGGAAGAGATACGTGAGAGTGGAAAACAGAACAAGAGGAAAAACGGGGAAGAGGAGGGTTGTGGGGTGGGATGACGTCTAGGCCCTACGGGTGGGTTTTGTTTATTTAATAATTAATTAATAATACAAATAAATAATAAACAATAAAATTAGTTAAAAAAGAAAATTAATGAGGGTATAATATTTTTTAAGGCCGGATAGGACCAAACATTAAACAAAAACAAACAATAGGGACGATCCAAGTTAGAAAAATAAGTTAGGGACCAAACATGCAAATTACTTCAAACCATAGGGACCATTCGTCTAATTTACTTCATTTGGAATAGACCATAAACACTACACATACCTTACATAGATTTTATAAAATGATGTTGTATCTACCTCACTACCTTAAATAGATTTTATAAAATGATGTTGTATCTACCTCAATCCTCGATACCTTCAACACTCACATATCTGGTGGTAGCCTGAACGGAGATCAATTTTGGAGAACCAAGACGCACCCTACCGCTGGTCAAACAAATCATCAATCCTCGGAAGCGGATAACGGTTCTTCACAGTTAGCTTGTTCAGCTCCCGATAATCAATTAACATCCTGTGGGAGTTGTCCTTCTTCTTAACAAACAAAATCGGCGCTCCCCATGGTGAACTACTTTGTCTGATAAACCCCTTGTCTAACAGCTCCTGCAGCTGTATAGACAACTCTTGCATCTTCGGCGGTGCCAACCGATAATGTGCATTGGCTATCAGAACCGCACCTAGTACCAGATCAATACAAAACTCCATCTACCTCTCCGGAGGCACTCCGGTCAAGTTCTCCGGGAATACGTCTGAATACTCTAGAACTACCGGCACATCCTCAGTCGTTCTCTTTCCCTCCGTCCTTGTGTCCAATACATAAGCCACAAAACCTGAACAACCTTGCTGAAGATATCTCCTAGCTCTCGCAGCCAAATAAAGAGCCGGTCCTCGCTGAACACCCTCGCCATGAATAACTAGTTCTCCCCCATTTGGGATTCGAACCTACACTGACTGGTTCCCATAACCAATCATTTCCCTATTAGATCTCAACCAATCCATCCCAATAACCTTGCTCTCGCGCAAAGGGATAAGAACCAAATCAACCAGGTACCTCTCTCGGAATAGCTCAAGAGCACAACCCCGATGAACCCTCGATGCTCTCACTGAAAGATCATCGATGATCTCTACCTTCAACGGATAATCCAGCTCCCCGGGAGCATCACCAAATCTCTTGCTGAGTGCAAGAGATACAAACGATCGGGTAGCACCCGAATCAAGAACAACCAAAGCATGCAATCCGTTCACTAAGAACGTCACTAAACATTACAACATGAAACATAATCATAAATATTAATGAAAGCGCATAAATAAATGGAAAAACATACCCGTAACCACGTCAGGAGTCGCACGCGCCTCCTCAACCGTCAACTGAAAAGCCCTGCTCTTCACTACAGGGGCCGCTTGCTTGCCCTCCTGGCCATCAGTGATCCTCAACGTACCCGGAGCAGGTGCCATAACCGCTTCTCTAGTAAAAACTCGGTCAATCGGCTTTCTTATGGCCCCTCTGATTGCAATGAAAGCAAATCAGACCTGAAACTTCAGTATTGGTGGTGGCAGTGTGTAACACCCGTAAATTCGGGCTACGCAATAAACTTATTATAAGCCATAATAATGACTTATAAATAAGAGATTGTTTAGGATAAATAATCTTAACCGAGTTATAGTACATGTCGTAAATAGTGAGTTGGAGATAGGTTACTTATTAGCCCTAGTGATCTAAACGAAAGTCGTAGTATTAGGAAAAAGCGAATTTGTGCATACATGGAACATCCAAATCTGGCTTCAATAGAGGAAGTTATGACTTTTCTAAGATTTCAACGTAGCAGTGTGCGCATAGAAATTGACTTTTAGATCGGTTGACTTTTGGACAAAACAATCTAAACGAGATATGAAGGTCTCGTTAATAGGATTCCAAAAATATAAGAACCATCAAAAATGGATGCCGGATGTGAGTGATATGCATTTTATACGGGCTTTAATAGGCTAAGCCTGTGTAAATAAAATGATGTCAAAACTAGTCGATCGAGTCTAAAGGAAAGTTGTAGATCTCGTCGAGAGCTTTCGGTGGATATAAAGAACATAAAAAACAGAGCATGTATGAAGTAGATACGCAATTTCTAAATTCTGAAAATTGACACGGACAGCGCGACGTGCGTAGCTTGCTCGCGAAGTCAGCCACGCTGCTCCAACTGACGAGTGACACATGTCATTTAAACGATGGATCGACTTGTTTGAACTGCATGGCATGCACCTCTTATGCGCGACGCGCATATGCGTTTTTGGCCCTATAAATATCCAACACTCCCTCATTCATTCCACACACTGTTACAACTACTCTCTCTCTCTCTCTCTCTCTCTCTCGATTATCCCTCATGTAAACCTATTTTTCTTTCGTTTCTAGCCTGAGGCGAATCCCTGAGACACCCGGAGTACTCGTTCGAGTAGTAGCCTTCGAGTAGGAGACCCTAAGTCAGAGTTCTGCCCACTTGGACCGTGGTTCTCATCCATAATCTGTAAGTGAGCTAGACTTACTCTGCCCTCACGTAATTTATAATTATATTCATATTTTTTGTTATGAACCTATAATTAAGATTTTATCAGTGATTCCAAGTTATATAATGATTTATTTACTTACATGAGAGGTGTCTAGAATGGTCATGTTGGCTTGGTTGTTGGATTTCAGAAAGACTATATGTCGAAATGGTCCTGCCTCCTGGCTGATCCTTATTTGTTAGAACTATCTATTTCCTTAGAATGATTGATAGGTCTAGATTCTCTCTAGTCGTGTAGAATATTAGACTAAGACTTAGTGATAATGATGCTAGGCCACGTCAAAGGAAATGTCAATTTCTAGATGCGAAGCTCTGTTCGAATTTCGAGTCATCACTTTAGCAAGTGAGTGCATAGTTACTTTCAAGCTTACGCATAGATATAAGTATTCTAAATGCTTAACTGCTATGTGCGCTATCTTTGCTATGTTTAATGTAGTTGTACAAATATGATTATTACTTGATTTATTGTTATGTTTAACATACTTAATAATATGACTGAGTAGTGAGGGTTGTGCAAAATAATAAATGAGAGGTTGTGTGAAATAGTGGTTGTAATAGGTTAGAGAGAGAGCCCTGTAAGATAATAAGTCGTGCATGCCGTGTCTATTGCAAGTACTTTTGTACTGTCGTGCTAAACCCAAGTACTTTTGTACTGCCATGCTAAACCCAAGTACTTTTGTATGACCGTGCTAAACCCAAGTACTTTGTATTACCGTGATTATACAAAAAGTACTAATGTACTACCGTGTTGTCGCGAGTATTATCATACCGTCGTGGTTAATCACCTAGGAATTATAGTTGTCCGATGATAAAGATCCTTTAGGAAAGATCCCTAAAGATCATCATAATAGGATTAGTAAGTGAGAGCGATGGGAAATGGGGTAATTGTGTTATTTGAATGTTGATGGTTATATAATTAAAAATTATAATAGTGTGGGTTGAAAACCCTATGTATCTCACTAGATTTCCCAACCTGACCCACTCAGCGTCTTTGTATCACAGGAAACAATAATGATGATGCCTGAGAGATTTGAGGAACTTTAGAGTATATTAAGATATTGTAAGTCTTTGTTTATACTTATGTTTTTTGTATCAGTTATGACATCCCGAGTTTTTAATAAATCAATGAAAAACATCCCTTCGGGAATATTTTATGGGACAAATGCCGCATTTGTAAATTAAAACTCTGATTTTAAAATAAGCATAAACTGGTCTTTTCTGGCCGTGAAATGGGGATGTCACAGTTGGTATCAGAGTATTAGTTTAAGCGAACTAGGAGTAATGATTTATTTCTAGACTTAAACATAGAATGCTAAGCGATGATCGTGAGATGAGTGTCTAGTATATTTTAGGTAGTACACTTGCATAAACATGAGCACTAGCTTATTTTAGGGTAGATGCCTAATTTGCTTCTATGTGCTAAATGATTTACACATGCTATAGCTATAATCTGCCTTAGGATGCTATAGGATGCCTTTAGTTGCTTTAGGATGTTCGGGTCTATGGTCTATTGCTGACCATATCTGGAAATTTTATGTGTACAGATTTCTAAACGTTTAATTACGGTATTAGAACTGGCATATAACTTTTTGGAGTGAAAAGGAGATTTATACGTCTATCTTGTTGGGTTTTAAGCACTATAACACTCCTATGGTACACATGCAACCCTAGATGCTTTGGATCTAAGTTTTCTCTAATTATACATGCAATTTCATTTTTCCAAAGCATACATCCTAACTAGAATACAATAGAGGATATACAACATAAAAACCAAGTTAGATGAATACCACTTGATGTAGTTTGTAGTTCTTGGCCATAGAAATCTTTAGCACCTCAAGTGTGATGCCTATAATGTGTCACAAACACCAAATGCAAGAGGAATTTTGAGAGAATAGGCTAGTTAGCTTCAAAATCGATTATCACTCTCTTAGAATGAATGGGAACTGATTTTAGAGCCAGGGGTTTGCTTTTATAGTGTGACAAAGGTTAGGGTTTCATCCATGCAAACCCTAATGCACCATGACCCTTCATATTTCTTAGGCTCCATGGGTTAAACCTCCATGGACTATCATATTGGTTTAGCCCATCCTAATCAACCATGGATCATAAGCCCACACTATAAGAATCATTGATTTACTTAATCAGTCCATGTATCTTTAATCAGTCTCTTTTGATCACTAAATTAATTCCAAATTAATTCTTGATCAATACTAATTAAATAATATGATTTCTCAATTAATATATTATACTTATAATATATTAATAAATCACAAATAACCTCTTTCTCAAAAGTCCATCCTATCAAATTGCTCTGGTGAAGGCAACCCAAAAGGACCATGCTACTCTCGGGTCAAGTACATACCGGTTATAGTTATGGGCTTAGACACCTAATCCAACAGTCTCCCACTTGGATAAGTCTAATAACTATAACTGCCAATGAAACTTCAAAATCCGATTAGCA